CTCCAACGCCCCCCATTTCTCCAAAGCGAATTAGGGAGAGGAAGTCGCCGCCGCGTCCCCCCCGACCCACCACGCTCTCAAAGTCTAGAGTAAGGAAGGGGGGGGAGCTCAGCTTCTGCCCCTAACTCCTCACGAGAAGTACCCCCGCTTCTTCATCCTCTCCCGACAGGGCGAGAAGGGCGAAACCCAACTCGCTCCCCTTGCGGTGGCGCCATCCCCGTCCCGGCCCCCCCCCACACACTCACTATTCGCCAACCCCTCCACACGCACGCACACACCCCGGCAGGACACCTCAGAGCCACCCGGCACTCACCGACTCGGCGGCGGCGGCGGAGAGGAGCAGCAGCAGGAGCGCGGCGCACAAGCTAGCGGGCTGAGGAGGCTGCATGGCGTCGTTGGATCCGCGGAGAGAGCGAAGGAAGGGAATCCGTCTGCGGGCGACGTAACTAAGTTGCCCCCCCCGCCGGCGCTCGGCGCTCTTATAGCCCGGCCCTTGAAGGAGGAGGAGGAGGAGGGGGAGGAGGATCTACACGTAGGAGGAGGGAAGTTCCCCGCTGGGGCCTCTCGTCGCCACCCTCAGTAACACTCCGGCGGCTCGTGGACTTTTTCTTTTTATATACAAAGATTCTAATATATATAATCAAAAAATATTTTTTTCAAATCTGGGTGCGACCTACATGGGTTCTAGTAGGATGAACTCTAAGGCGGCGCTTGCTGAAGTTATATAGGTTATCTGTCTATCCTATCTGTACAGGTAAACGTTTTTCGAATCAGTAAGTACAGCAAGGAAGCACACCTGTAAAAAAAAATCTAGTCGACCCCCAGGTAAGACGTGCTAGGCGTCTGTGACGAAACCAGCTGGGCAATATGAACAGCTTTGCTTGTTGACTTTTGTCTGCCTTGCCGCTGGGATAAGAGACCATCCAGACGGTGCCCATGATATACCAACCATATTCTGTGAGAACAGAACGGGACGGGATAAATACTCTGCTTTCTGAAATACAAAATACTCTGCTAGGAATAATCAATTTCCTCACGAGCAGAACGTCAAGGGAAGCTATGTGGATGGTCCATGTTCGGGTCCCTGTCCGCTGTGCAGTTCCAAGCTGCAGATGATGATGTTTATTATTTATTTATTTAAAATAAATCTATGTTGCCTTTCTCCCCAAAAAGACTCAAGGCGGCTTACATCACTAAAACAGTATTTAAAAGCTAAAACAGTAAGTATACAAACATTTTAAAAAGAATTGAACAAGTACTATATTAAAATGGTAACTAAGATCAATATTAGGGATGTGGTGGTACTGCAGGTTAAACCACAGAAGCCTCTGTGCTGCAAGATCAGAAGACCAGCCATTTTAAAATTGAATCCACGCAACGACCAGCCGTTGTAAGATTGAATCCACGCGGCCGAGGGAGCTCCCGTCACTTGTCCCAGCTCCCGCCAACCTAGCAGTTCAAAAGCATGTAAAAATGCAAGTAGATAAATAGGTACCACCTCGGTGGGAAGGAAATGGTGTTCCATGTCTAGTCGCGCTGGCCACGTGACCACGGAAACTCTTCAGACAAACGGTGGCTCTATGGCTTGGAAATGGGAATGAGCACCTTGCCCTAGAGTCGGACATGACTGGACTAAATGTCAAGGAGAACCTTTACCTTTACCTAAGATCAATATTAAACAACTGTCAAGGGGAACCTTTACCTAAGATCAATATTAAGCGACATTTAAAACAATATAGCACAACAGTCCATTTAAAACTCCTTTCAGACCACCAGTCTGATGACGATTATGAAACAACACAGCACAACAGTCCATTTAAAAGCCCTTTCGGACCACCAGTCTGATGATGATGATTATATTATCCAAATGTTTAGCAAATATGTACTCACAGTACAAAAGACTGATTGTCAGGAAACTCTCCAACCTTTTTTCCCCTATCATTTCCCCTTTATTTCCATGACCCTACTACCTTTTCCATTTCCTTCCATTTTGTGAATGCTTCTATTGATTCCGTTGGTGTATTTGTTGCACTCTTGCACAATTTGTTGCCAATAAACAATAACAAAAGGGGTGGGCTGGAGATAATGTTTATGGGGAAAGGACTACTATTCACAAAGGAAACTTCAACAAAAAGGAAGCAGCCAGGAAAAAATGAAATGCACAACACAGATACCTCTCTGCAATTGCACATTCTAATACACTATAATCTACAGTCATTATTCAGTAATCTACTGTGCCTTATTCAGGAAAGCCAAGACTGTTGTGTTCAATTGTGACTTTAGGGCAGGCTTTTCCAACCTGGCATTCGCAAGATATGATGGATTATAAGTGTGCCAGGTTGGAAAAGACTGATTTAGGAACTTTCTTTTAATATAGCTAAAATCCTCTGGCTAGCATATTAAATTGCACAATTCACAATTTGAGCAGGCCCCTCAATATAACTTAGCAGGTGACTCACCCAATCCCTGCTGATTCAATGATCCTAGTCTAGAATGACTTCCTACAAAAAGCAACAGGGTTTCAGTCCATATTTCACATACAGAACCGCATACAGTATTCTGATAAATTTCTTGTTTATTGACACACAAGTTAGTTTGTCTGGTGGCTTGTGGTAGCAATGACTTTGGGACAATCCTCTTTAATGCTACATCTTAGGTCCTTTTGTTAAAGACCAGACTGTATTCATGTGAGTGCATGCAAAGATCTTCAGGTACAAATTTACAAATGGCACATACCCATTGGAGAAAGACCATTAACTGGGCAGCAAATTTTTGACATTTTAAAATATTAAATGCAGAACTCGGAAAAGGTTTTTGAAGTAGCAATCCCCAAAATTCCCCACATGGAGTGCAGGATTATGGGTGTTGTCATCTTAAAATATAACATTCCCCAGTTTTAATTAAATTTGTTTGTTTGTGTTTGTTAGTTTACATTTCTATTCTGCCTACATAGTAACAGAGCCACTACTCTGGGAAGGTAACAGAGCAACATCAAAATAGCATAATAATAGGAATAGAAATAACCACAACAAAATTCAGACAATCCAGAAAAAAAATCAGAAAACTGATCTTAGTAAACATGATCCATGAAAGTACAATAACATTAAGCATGGTAAAATTACAAAAAAAGAAAAGTAAAATAGTACGCATCTGACAGAGATAAGTGCACAAGATCACAATGGAACTAGTCAGAAAATAAATAATAATTAAAATAATCAAAATTAATTAACAATTACTTAACAATTCATATGGTGACTTGTGTCATCATAGAAGAATGTTCTTCAAACACCCTTTCCATCAGGCAGGAATGAATGCCTTTTTTGTGGCGCCTGCTATGATATACTATATTCATCAATTATATATATATTTAATTTATTAGAAGTATTTATTATTTTCTACTCACCGGAGTCCTCAAATAACTGCACAGTTTAAAAACTTACAATAAAATGCACAATAGAATAAAACAGAAATGTAACCTTTAAACACCCCCAAACAATATGCATGAAAGGCTTAGCAAACCATTATGCAAATTGAGGCATCAAATTGAGAACATAGGTTTGGGGTGACATAAGAAGACAAATACTATCTGGGATTAAAGAGATAGTGAGAGGTGCTGATAAGATGTTCTGCCCCATGTATCAATAGTCAATATAACCTGATTGGCTTTAGATATTCTGCATCTTTACATAGGGGAGAATGTTATCTACTTCTTGACTGAAGGGAAAAAAGTGATTTGGGCTGACCTGACTTCTCTTGGGATGGGAAGGAGGTGTTGCTACAGAAAAGGAAATAAAGGAAAATTATCTTCTGTAGAACTATTTATTTTGTTCGTGTGTAAATTTAAGCAGAACTAATCAATTAAATCTCATTCATTAATCAATTGTGCCATTATGAGTGCTTAACTGATAGATAGTCCATGTCAGTTTATGTGTTGAGGTTTGTGTGCAGATGAAAATGCCCAAGATCAACCTGTGAGGTTTATTCCATTGGGTAGCAATCCTCTTTTAGGGGTAGCATTATTGACACAAACGTTTAGATCATTTTCAGTTGTTTGTTGGTTTAGGGCAATAGCATTTGGTAAAGGCAAGCTGGAAAACAGATAGTGAAATAGTGGTATTATATTTTATATTTTAATTCATCTTATTCACATTGTTCTGGATGGATAGCTCACTGGTTTAGGAGCCAGAGGTTGGGTGTTTGATTCTTGGATGAAAAGTCGGCCCGTGTAGTCATGGACAAGCTGCATAGTCCCAGAGCACCCCCAGAAGAACAGAATGGCAAACTATTTCTGAGTACTTTCTTCCTGGAACCCCCTGAAAAGGGTTGCCATAAGTCAGAAACAAGAGGAGTATTGATTATGAAAACAGATGTTATTCACTCACCGCTCATTTCTGTACAAAATGATATTTTCAGTTTCAGAATAATTTTTTGTTATTATTTAATATTCACTAAACAGGCAGATAGATGTCACTCAGCAATTGTATAATGTCTCCTTGTTAACATTTCCTTAATTGCTCCTTGCTCCTTCCCTTATGGCTACGATTCCTTTTCTCTTGTTTTCTCGTGCTGTCTACACTGATATATTTTGCCCTTTTCTTTTTTGCTTGATACTGATTAATGACTTGTGGCATGGTTGTGACACCTATTGACACCTGATACTATAGATTCCAGTTGACAAAATTGCATTACATGCTGTGTGCAGGAGATTCCACACTCACTCAGGCTCCAAAATACCGTGAAACTGGATGTGATAAGGTCACATCTTAATAGACAAGTTCTTCTGATAACATGGAGAATATCATAGAATTCTACAGCTGGAAAGTTCCCAGGGATATCTAGTTCAACCTTCACCGATGCAGGAGACCCACAACTAGAGCATCCATGACAGATGGCTCTCCAAACTTTATCTAAAATCCTCCAGTATCATGGTACCCCATTCTATGCCTACATCCAGTTTTATCACTACTCAAAAAGTACTGGTTACTTAAAAATAACTACTTTTTCCAGTAATGAAGATATAGAGGCACTATAGTATAACTGCAACTAACCAAGGGAAAACTTCATTCATTTTGTGATATAACTAGCCATTTACAGTGGGGTCTCTACTTAAGAATGTCCCTACTTAAGAACAATCCAACTTAAGAACAGCTCCATTTGCTAAATTTTGCTTCTACTTGAGAACAGAAATCCAAGATAAGAACAGGAAAAAAAACCTTTCCTGCTCTTTTTTTAACCTTAGGTCATCTTAGGTTTTAAAAAAATTCTCCCCCTGGTGGTAGAGTACGTATTAACCAGCTTTGCATTAGTTCCTATGGGAACTAATGCTTTAATTCTGTTTAGTGAAGGAGTCTCTTGTAATCACTTTACTAAAAGAAGCAGAATAGGAGTATCACGTGGTTTTGAGTGATAGCTCATTGCTGCTGCCTCGTTTTATTGTGGCTTCAAGATCGCAACAAGTGCACAAGAGGAAAG